TGGGGGGGGGGGGGCGCCGGCGGCGGCGGGCCAGGAGAGGGGGGGGGAGGGGGGGGGGGGGGGGGGGGGGGAGGAGGGTCACGTGATGAGATGCGACACACCCCTTCACCTTCAAGCCCCTGACGCGCGCGCTCACGCACGTACTCGTGTCTCTATAACAAAGAAGCCAAACAGAGCCGGCATTGATCTTCAGACCTAACGAATCAATCACTGATCGATGATCGTACTCTCAAGATGAAAGAGGTTTAGGTCAACAATAGACCACCGCCATTTAACAACCACTTTGATAAACACCGTTATGACATTGTTGTGTCAACAATAGACCAAAGTCTATGGAGAAAATCAGAGATTTTAGTTCAGACCAAAGTCCATGGAGAAAATCAGAGATTTTAGTTCAGACCAAAGTCCATGGAGAAAATCAGAGATTTTAGTTCAGACCAAAGTCCATGGAGAAAATCAGAGATTTTAGTTCAGACCAAAGTCCATGGAGAAAATCAGAGATTTTAGTTCAGACCAAAGTCCATGGAGAAAATCAGAGATTTTAGTTCAGACCAAAGTCCATGGAGAAAATCAGAGATTTTAGTTCAGACCAAAGTCCATGGAGAAAATCAGAGATTTTAGTTCAGACCAAAGTCCATGGAGAAAATCAGAGATTTTAGTTCAGACCAAAGTCCATGGAGAAAATCAGAGATTTTAGTTCAGACCAAAGTCCATGGAGAAAATCAGAGATTTTAGTTCAGACCAAAGTCCATGGAGAAAATCAGAGATTTTAGTTCAGACCAAAGTCCATGGAGAAAATCAGAGATTTTAGTTCAGACCTTATGTTGCAGTAAATAAATGAAACCCTAAAAATGCAGTAACTAAGTGTCATTTTCCACATGTCACATCTTGTGAACCTTCTTTCAGTGTGAAAGACGTTTGCCTGTGTGGTCTTCCTGATACCTGAGTGGATCAATTAAACACGGCTCATTAACTCCGCCCCTCTGAACACCTCATTAACTGAGGGAATATTTACACAGCCATGGTTTTTACTGCCTCCAGGAGACAGAGGTGGACGTGAGTGAGTGTCTCCGTCAGGTTTAAGACTCACAGCAGTAGCAGCAGCAGCAGCATCAGTACTGTGGTACTGTTAGTGTGGTTGGTTCCATCTGAGTGGTTCTAAAAGTTCTCCTGGGTTCCATCAACACAGATCACAGTAGAATCTTCTCTAAATCACTGCTGCTGTTACTGCTGTTACTGCTGTTACTGCTGCTGCTGCTGCTGCTGCTGCTGGCAATGATTTAAAGCAGCTTTCAGACAACAGCAGGAGGAGGAGGAGCTGAGACACTGACGTCAAACTCTGAGCTTGTGGAAGAGAAAACCATGACCAGTAAAAACCCTGTACAGTGAGTGGTCAAAGAATGGAGTCGGAGACGTGGACAATGATGTCACTCCTAAAATCCATACCTGGAATTCAACAATTCAACAATTCAACAATTCAACAATTCAACTTCCAACACTTTACCCAGTGCTGTACAGAAACTGACCACACGAGGCAGCAGTGAGCTAAAATCACCAATTCTCTTCATGGACTTTGGTGTGTGAACAAACATGGTGGTTGGGTCTGGGTGGAGGGAGGTGGGAGGTGGCACGGTCTCCCCCCCCACCCCCCACACACTGTTAGGGGGAGATTAAAGAACTCAATGTAAACATGACGAGACGTTGTTTTCTCTGCTGAAAACCTGAACCTGTTCATGAAAGAATTCACAAAACTTTTATATTTTGCTGCAGTTTCACCACAAGTAACAGCAGAGGGCACTGCAGGATAGATAACTGGTGCAGAACCACAGGCTCTCTCCCATGAAAGTGTGTGTGTGTGTGTGTGTGTGTGTGTGATCGTATAAACACCTACCGTTGTACAACAGCGGTGTGAGTTATGAGGTATGACGTCACACAGAGACGAGCCCAGAAGAACCTGAGAACACAAGAACATTCATTTGATGACACCTCCGTCTACTCACAGCTGACACAGTGTAATCTGATAACAGGAATCAGATTACAACAACATCATCAGAATAAATCACTTGTTACAAAACTTCATCAGGTTGAAAAAAAAAAAACTTTGGTGTCCGATAATTCAACCCCTCCTCCCACCTGTACCTGTAACTGTACCTGTACCTGTAACTGTACCTGTAACTGTAACTGTACTTGTACCTGTACTTGTACCTGTAACTGTAACTGTAACTCCTTCGTAATGTACCGCAGCGGGAGAATGAGAGGAAGATTTGATTTGATCAGAAAGCAGTTTATTATCTCACCTGTAGTCGGCACTGTTGTCAGACACAGCGCACGACAAAGCGTTCCAACACAAGGAACAGAACCCACTGCGCATGTGCACTACAACATGGTGCGTTCAACGCAGCCAAGAACCGTCAGAAAAAGTAGAACGTTAGACCAGAACATAAACATTTATTCACCGACCGTCACAATAAGAAATGAACGCAGACCATTATCAACGCTCAACAAGGCTCTGGCCACTAGATGGCAGCATTGTAGCTTCTTTCATTAATCTACAGTGATAACCAGGTGATTGTCTGTAGAATGCTGGTGCAGCAACTCTGACACTGGTTTGGACAGAGAAATAAAGAAATATTACCAGGAGCTCAGTAGTTATTCAATTCTGTCCACTAGGGGGCAGAACATAACTGAAATAACTCTGTTTTTACCCCTCACCTTAGTGAGCAGGCAACACTTCACCACAGCCAAAAGTTAATACTGGACGTCCCTGCTCTGGACCAATCACAGTGAGGATGAAAGATTTAGTGACGTGATGACACATGCAGCTCCTGATTGGTTGGTCCAGATGAGAGTATCGACGAGGCCGGTGAGGTCGATGCTCCGCTGGGACCAGGAGTCTCTGCTGGATTATTTT